CCCCCCCCCCCCCCCACCCCGTATGTATTGTGCACGGTAGACTGGCCCCTACCTGGTCATAAGAGGTTACTCCCTTGCATACACTATAAATTATGCTCTATATGGGCATCTGCCACTTAACAGGATTTGCTTGTTGTCACTCTGACTGCTACAGGGTAAGAAAATCACCCTTATCTCTGAATCAGGGACAATATAGTTTTTTCTACTTTTTTCTCAATCAAGCTTAGGAGCAAAACTCAACTCCCTCTTCGCTTTTAATTATCACTGAGGATTGCAAGGTCCTTTCTGTTAATTTTGTCAGGATCAGCTGCAGAGTTCCAAGGACTCAGCAGCACCCTCCACCCCACCCCCAACTAGGGGGGGGGGGGCGGTCCTGAATACCCTAATAGTGACCTCTTTGAAAATTAACACCTCTTGATTTTTAAAGAACTAAATCTGGAAAAAAGACACTTTGTTCTAAGCTGTGTGATACTGTGAAACATGAAAACACTTATGCCGTTTTTTATTCTAAGATCATCGTCAGGACCATCACCAGTCTAATTCTTCACATCGGATCTTTTGGAAAGATGTACAACAAACAAAGGGAACAAATCTCAACTTTGATGGCATTCCTTTTGTCATCTTGGGTGCCAAGCTTTTTGAATGTCAAAATGGACCTGATCGCAACAAGGCCTTGAAGGAAAAAAATGCTAAAAAAAAGGTAAGGTAATGGAACTGTAGCACTAATGCAAATGAACATAATTTTCTCTGGTTTTGATGAAAGCAGAAGTCTTGTAAATGGGTGGATCAGAAATGTCATTGTAACACCACTCCATACACTTTTAAACATCTCTCAGTTTTCTCTAATTCTGTTACTGATGCTTTTTTTTTCAGGCATCTGGAGATCATGATTATTGTGGGAAAAGAAGATACATGGTGCAAAATACTAAGAAGTGCAACTGCACTGCTCAAATACACATGCGGGAAATTATTGTATACCCAACATACAAGGTTTGGGATCAAATTGTAACAGTACAATAACAATAACCATTGTTCCTACAAATTATAATATGAACACTAGACAACTGGGAATGAGAGCAAATGCTAATGTTTCCATGCATCGAATCAATTGGTGGAAGTTTACAAGCCAAGGGTTCCAGGTCTCCAGAGGTAAACCCCTGCCCAATATACCCCAGCATACTCCTGGAAGAATTGGTATGCTTGTTGTCAAAACTGAGGGGGGAGGGGGTGGGGCTGCACTGCCCCAATTACAATAAATTACATCTAATGACCATGATGGTAGAAATGATAATAGTTGTTACTACCACTTAGACTTCTGTTTTCTGGTGAAACTAATCACCTATGTACTGGAGCAGAGATAACTAATCACTAAGGACTTATTTATGCTTGTCTCTAAAATTTAGATTATGTCATACATTTTGTGTTTCAAGTACTGATTTGGATATCATTTTTAAAATTCCAAATGGGTTATAGTACCCCTCACTTTATCATGGAATAATTATTAATTGCATAAAAATTTATTTACTCATAACAGATTGAATCAGAGACAAAATCCAGAAAGGAAGAAGCATCAAAAAAGCTCAGGAGTGATTTGCAGCAGGGAAAAGCTGAGGGGGAACATCGCATATACATTTCTCTGCCAAAAACTGATGAACACAAGAACCATCCTTTTGGCCAGGTTTGTGCAGAATTCTGGTTTGTGCAGAGAAATACAACGCTAGTCAGAAAAAAAACAAGATCACACTTTAAAAAATTTAATTTCCCATTAGGCACCCTTCAGCCTTTGACCTCCAGACTTAGAGAAGTTAACAGACAAAAATTCTGGAAATAATTCATTTATTAATAAACGAATATGACATGTTATTAATTCTAGAGAGCTGGATTAATGCAACGCATTGACGACAGAGTTGTGAAGAAAGTGAATGAACTAGTAAAAGATGGTGTCACTAGCGTTGCAGAGATGGAGAGGCATCTAGGCTTCTACGTAAAGAAGGAGCTTTATGATGGTTTACCTCTGCCAGATCCTGGTAACCGCCGTTTTTTCCCAAGTCTTAATGACATATATAACATCATGTACACGGCCTCTATACAGATGCGTCACTCCAAGATTGATCAAGAGGAACTGGCCCATAAGATTGCTCAATGGCAACAAGAATCCCCCCAAGATAAATTCTTTCTGCGACCAAGTACAAAGTCTGCATCAGAAAGTTTTCTGTCAGTACAAGTAGTGTTGGAGGAGAATGACATCATGTGGCAGATGAATGATGCAGATTTACATGCTGACAAACAGTCTACTGATCTGCTGTTTGTTCACCAAACCCACTGGCAGAGAACACTACTCGAAAAATATGGCAATGAAATTTGCCTCCTTGATGCCACCTACAAAACTTCCAGATATGCACTTCCTCTATTCTTTTTGTGCATCAAAACTTATGTCAATTACTGTGTTGTTGGATCATTTGTCATACAGCATGAGACCAGGCGGGCAATTGCTGAAGCACTTGATGTGTTACGTGAGTGGAACCCACAATGGCCGCCAAGATTTTTTATGACCGACTTCAGCGATCCTGAAATTAAAGCAATTGAAGAAGTTTTTAACCGTGAGTTTTAAAAATGCTGCCAAAAATTAATTTGTAACATAACAAACTTGAGATTATCATTAAAATACTTTATTTAATTAGGAAAACAGTTCCACAATAATCACTGAAATTCTGAGAAACTGCTCACCTACCCTATCCCTCCGAAAGTTTTCCCTAAGAGAGTTAGTGAATGGGAATGTTGGGTTAAGGATGGGGTGGGTGAGCAGTTACCCAAAATGGGTCAGCTTTGGTTGAGAATCATCAGCCTGAATCATATACATGTAGTAAGTTGGGTGGGGAAAATAACCTATTCACCTTGCCCTATTATTCATTTTCTACAAATTTTTCCATATCACATCTAGTGTGTGACCTCCTTAATTACAGCCTATGTTTTTGAATGTTAGAATGCACTGTGTACATCAGTGACTTCCATCGCCTCCAAGCCTGGCAACGATGGTTAAACACGTCCAGCCATGGACTAGTACAGGGCAAAGAGGAAGTCCTAGCTTTGTTGAAGAAACTAGCAAAGGCTCCCACAGAAACTGCTTATGAGACAGCATTACAATCTCTAAAAGAAAGTCAATACTGGAAGACCAACAGTGATCTCAGAAATTGGTTTGAAAAAAAGTGGCTTTGTGAGAACAAGGTAAATGAAAGGGCGATCTATTAATTGTTTGATTATGTTACATCTGTGCTGACCAAGGCAAAATTCTTGCACCATTATTTTATGATTTTCATGTAAAAATCCAAGGTACTTATTATATTTTGTTACCAATTTTACCTCAGACTACACTAGAAGGCTTACATATTCTTTTCATATCCTTCTCCTTAATATACCTCACTTATGTACTGTATTTTGTTCCTACTTATTCATAAAGAGATGGGTTTGGGCTTATCGCAAAGATCGATTCAACGGGCAATCAATACCAATAATGGTATTGAAAGACAGAACAGGTCATTCAAGTACGACTTCCTTGCTAAGCAACGTGATACAAGCCTTTCAGGGATGCTCACAGTGCTAGTGACACAGTTTCTACCTTCAAGTTTCCGAAGGTTTGTTTTATGTAACAGTATACTATTTTACTTTCCATCAGTAGATCTATTCTTTCATACATTGCATTTCCCGCATTTCCTTACTGGACAGTAACTGTAGCAGTACTTGACCGCTTGTACTCTATAAGTTAGTGGCTAAGACATTGATGAAGAATGCTGCAAACTGTCTACTAACTTGGTTTGATCTGATTCTGTTATTTTTTCTCATCCTGCATGGCAAAGTTTAACACTGCTCTTAGGCCAATTCTTACACAGGAGTAGAGTTTTTGACAATGATGAGCATTCTTCTGTGTTGGCACCATAACCTACATGTACACATACTGTCAGAAAAACACAAGAGAACAAATGCACATTATTTTCATTTGGTTGAAATGTGATTAAATTTTCCACCATCAAGTACATCTATGACTGTAGGAGGTGCGCAGTTTCCCTGTGTGCCTATCTCTAAATTGCTAGTTTAGATAAGAACCGCTTACAAATACTGGCTGTACAGGACAACTGCAGCTAACAACCAGGCCCACTTAAGGGCAGTTTTATTTACTGAGGTGTATGCTTGTTATTCAGACTTAGCATGCTCAGTCACATGTCATACCAAAAGAAAACAGAATACTTAAATTACCTTGCAGCTATCTATCATTAAATCAACGTTACTCTGGGGAGTTCAAGCAGTATAACCAATCACTTCCACAGTGGCTCCACAACCGCCTACGTGCATTTGTTGACCATGTCAGAATGCGTCTGGACAGTTCTCTCAATGTACCCAAAGAAGACATTGAAGTCCTTCCAGATCAAACACCAACCTTTACAATTAAAAGTGAGAATCAAAAGTCAACATACAAAGCCTGCTTTGGAGACGACAACAGCATGCCCTTTTGTACCTGCCCAGACTGGACGGAGCACCACCTACCCTGCAAGCACATGTGTGCCATCTTTCGCAATTTTGCGCCTGAGTACAGCTGGGACTCCCTTTCTTCCCTTTACAGGCTAAGCCCATTTTTTCAACTTGAAAATGAGGAGTCAGTCATGGGAAATAATATATCAATGTCCCAAACTACTAACCATAATATTGAAGAAACTGAATGTGAAGTGGAAGAAAATGAATCTCTAGAGACAACTGTCAATAAAATAACAGAAACAAAGAAGAATACAGCCTTGAATGTGAAGAAGAAAGCCCTCCAATGTAGGGAGGTCCTCACCCAACTTAGAGATTTGACATACCTGTGTGAGAAAGAGGACGCCCTTGAAGATCTGAAGGCTTCACTAACAGCAAGTCTTATTAGCTTTCGCCCCCAAGTTCCATCAGAGAGTGGGCTTTTGTTAGAAAAAAATTGCCAGAGAAAAGTAAAGACCAACAAGAGAGTGTTAACTGCCGTGAAGTATGCCGACCTCCCCCCTCGAAAGAAACAGAGGAAGGCCAAGACAACAAACAACGAAAACCGGAAAAGAAAACTACATCTACCAAAGCTTAGTCAAAGCATCTCAAGCAAGAAAAAAGAGAGAAGAGCGGCGTCTGTACCAAGAAGAACTGCAACTCCGTCGCTCTCACAAAAAACGGCTCAAACCGAGACAATAGATCCAGCTTCATCGGCGCCTCCCTTATTACTACCACAGATGGCTCAGGCCAAGAGAACAGAATCAGCACCTGTATGTCAGCCAAAAATATCAGTATCTCCTTCACTGCCAGGCCAACCTGAGGTACTTGAGGGGGAAGGTACAACACCTGCAGTCCCCATGCCAAAGCAACCTTCATTTCCCACACCACAGATGCATGCAACTCTTGGCAATGATAATCCATTATATTCTGACCTATTGTCATTCCCTTCACTGCTACAGCAATCAACAGAGGGACAGCCATCCCCTGCAGAAAAGAAGTTTGTTCCTGTTAAAGTTGTTCAAGGATCCATGAGCCAGCAGAATGACAAATTCTCTGATAGTAACAGGGGCAAGCAATGCACAAGCAATAGTTTAACCTTCCTGCTTCATTACCTAACAAGTCCTGGTGAAAAACAAAGCAAAGCAACAATTGATGCAGTTCTGAGTGTTGGAGATAAACTACATACAGCTTTAACCAAAGCCCTAAAATGCCCAGGGGAGAGGTTGTCATTTGAAGATGTCTCAAAGGCTGTTAAACTGTTGGGGGAAGGCGACTCCATTCTATTCCCTCAAGGGATACTCAGTGGTGATATCTTCTCCTTGTCAAGCAACCCACCATTTTTACCTCTGAAGGTAGCATTACAAAATGCCCTGCTAAACAACTCAGGCACTTTGCTGAGGTTCCTGGAATTTACAGTGGCTGTTTGTAAGCTACCAGATGGTTATTACAATCTGTTTGACCCTCACGCAAGAAATCAGAAGGGGTTTGTGGATGGAAATGGAACTGCAGTGATTATGTCCTTCCCTACAGTAGATTCACTAGTAAACCATGTCAGAACCTTTGTTGGACAAAAATGGTTTGGAGACTGCCATTCAAAAGTCAGTGGACAGCTTATCCATGGCTGATCGTTCCTTTGAGTTGCTACCTGTTGTCATATCCAACAAAGATTATGGCCAACCACAAAAAAACAGCTGTTTGTCTAGGATGACCAGTGGAGTACCATCTGAAGAAAAGGAAATTTCTTTTCAAAGGTAAGAAAACAACTCACCACGCATAGTACACTCCATTATATTCAAAAAAGATGAGCTTATGACCAAGGCAATACTCACTTGGACATCAGTGAGAAACATCCATATTAATTTTGATTAAGCATGCTGGTAAACTTGACCCAACTTTTTTGTTTTGTTGAATAATCTTATTATACAGATAGTGATGTTGTTTACATTCCACTTTGGTTGTAGTGAGATGATCCAGCAAGCATGCAGGAAAAGGCCAGGAGGACTCAACATTGGTCAAACAGCAGATAAAAAGGTAAAGAATTGTTATTAATAAGTGAAGAAGGAAATTTCTTTGAAATTTTATTTTGAACATTTTTATTTTCCTGTTCCATTCATTAATATTAATTTGTGTAATACATTATGGGTCATAACCTTTTATTTCACTTTTGAAAATGAAATGCATTACTCCAATGAGTAATATTCTGCTACTTTCAGTCTACAAAATGGGACACCAAAGAAGCAGAAGCAGTACTCAATAAATTCAACATCACGCTCACAAGCCAAGACTTAAATAGACTTCATGATGGGGAAGAGCTTAATGATCAGGTACCCCTTTGAACTTGAAAAAGTAAAAACTGAAACTAAACTTACAACATCATATTATAGGACACATTTCTTTAATTTTGAAGTGTGTAGACCTGAGAATTTTATGTACATAAATAAAATGGAGGCAATGTATGAACAATTGCGCATTAATGAAAAGTCTAACCTCGCTCAAAGTTTACTGTTTCTGTGCAGCCATACATGGCTTCTATATTATCTATGCAACTAAAATTTAAATGAGTACAACCCTAAAAATTGGGCAACGGTGGAAATTCACCTTAACTTTTTTTTATAATAATATTAATTTCAACCTTTTCCTTTGCTTTTAGATTATCAATTTCTACTTAGAACTAATCAATCAGAGATCCAAGGAGGTCAGTCAATTTACATAATAATCAACACTTTCAGTAAGAGTTTGAAACCATAACAAAAATAAAGTAATTAACTACTGCTTGGGTTTTGGTCTCTTTCTAGAAATCAAACATGCCTAAAGTCCTGTGTATGAATACTTTCTTCTATAAAAAGTTGTCTACATGTGGAGCAAAGTGGCTTGCCAAGTGGACAAAGAAGGTATTAATACCCCACTCTAATCACATGATGGTTGATGGTCAATGTGACCATAATAATGTCATCTTGCAAAATCAACCAGACTAATGAAGGCTGAGTGACTCAGTTCAAATGTTAAAATCAGTATAAATTAGTGACATTTCTAGTCAAATCCTTGTAAATTCTCTAATCTATATGGGAAATGCATTGAGCTTTTCTGGTACATGTTACATTTTCAAAGTTTTTATGCTTAGTTCCTTAAGCATTCAATAAGGCCAAATTGGGAACATCTCAAAAAAAAGGACATTATTAACATTACTCTTTTACTGTGTCCTCCATAGATCAACATATTTGAATATGACAAGATCTTCATTCCAGTTCATCTACCTGGTCACTGGGTCCTTGGGGTGTGTACAGAGTAAAGTTTAAATGTCTGAAAACCATGCATTTATCTGATTGAAGCGTCCACTCTGCCTAACTGTACCTTAATTAATATTAACATAAGTTTAACTGTGCTATTATTAGGTGGTGGATTTCGGCTCAAAGGTTATATCTTACTGGGATTCTATGAAGTCATCTGCTAATTGCGCCTTCTACGAGAATCTCAGGTAATTAACAAGTGTTTTGGTGCCTATGTTTCACAGTGATAATTTAGTTTTTGTGCTTTTTAAGACAAACAGTAACAGAAATATTTGCCTCCATCATTGTAGGAGTTTTTTGAAGGAAGAAAGTGTCAAACGAGGAAGAACCTTCCTGGAAGAACAATGGCTCGATCAATATCCACAGGTATCACTGTGCATAAAGCTGTGTCATATTGGTATCATCAGTCTTAAATAAAACTTTTATAAGGTTCAAAAGAACAGATCATGAATCTTGTGGGTAATAATACTTATATATTTTTTCCAGGATATACCAAAACAGGACAATGCCTATGATTGTGGCATGTTTGTTTGCATGGTAAGTTTTGACCACTATGTTGACTGCATTGGAATGACTCAGAAATTAATAGAAGGCCATAATGAAATTAAATTATTATTGTTTACACTTTTAGTTTGCTGAATTCTTGAGCAGAGGGGATCTCCCCACATTTAAACAGGCAAGTATACCTGTATCGTAACACAAACCAAAGGCTTTTGTAAACAAATTATTTTATTTCACCTTTTATATTCTTTTTAACAGGATGACATGCCTTCAATGCGAAGAAAAGTTCACGACCAAATATTGCAAGGTTTCATCTAAGAGTACCAATACTGGTCAAAACATATCACATAATTGGCATACAAAAAAGTGGAAAAAACAATATGGTAACAGTTCTATGGAAACATGCCCTGTATTAAAGGAGCAATATTGACTACTCATTGTATCAAAGAATTGAAGTGGTTGCCAGGTTACTCTTTAGTTTATGTTATCTGTAAAATATGAGACACAGTGTTTCGACACAAGATAGAACACTAGAAAGAGCCTTGACACACAGCAACATATATTCCTGGTCAACTTCAAATTGTTTCATAGATACTTCCATAAAATATTTCCTCATGTGTAATATTAATCCTCCACAAATTATTAAGAATGCATGAATGATAAAATTTTAACCCAATCTCCAAACATGCATGAATCATTGATTGTGTTCGTATTTTTCTTATGATTTAGTAATTAGTTTGAGGAATTATTAACCACAAACGAAAAGAAACTTACGAAGCACAAGTGCTACCTACTTGTCAGTTTAGTTGAGTTTCCTAGTTCAGAAGTCATTAAAAAGGAAAGTAAATAATTATTAACAGAAAATTGTTTCTATTTATATTAATTAAGCTTAATTATTCTTAAATAGTGGTTATTGCATGAGTTTGTTGCAAAGTTAGGTATAATCAAGGTGAAAGTTGCTACATACAGATTAGTCAGTTATCTGCTGCAGATAACTGACTAATCTGTAGGTTGTGCGCGCAATGCATGATTCCCAATAACAATAATATTAATCAATTTAGGTTCCTTGCAACGATATGTTTGGCGTTATTTTCTTCAAATCAATGTATAATAAAACAATATTATTATTATATTATTATTCCGGATATCTCAAAAACCTCATGCAATGATATTGTTTATTAAGTGTGGGTTCAGCCAATGACAAGAAAGATATTAAATACAATGTACCAAACAAAGAATTTCATGTCTTTATGCATTTAGTTGTATGCCTATATCTTGACTAAGAGGCTTCAAGTTGATAAAAACGTATTGTGACTTTTTCTCAAATATTTTGATGTGATACCCCTTTGTTTTTCAAACCTGGTTCAGGTCGTTGTTAATCGTATAACAACGACCTGAACCAGGTTCACTCATTTTGTCAAATATTTCGACTTTGAAGCAAATATCATTATTACAGCAAAGTCATGAATGGATCAGGAAAAAAACTCCTTTTATTCGTTGAATAGACTCACCTTTTTTAATCTTGTACATGCATGTGCAAC